GAAGACTTCATCACCTAGGCGGCCATCGGGACAAGACCACAGGAACCAGATGAGTCTTCCGCACAATCTGACTTTGCAATCTGAGGAGAACTGGCCCCCCGACTGAGCCTGGTTTCTCCCATTCTGTCACCGATGGAGTTTTGGTTCCTTGCCGCTTTCGCCTCTGGCTTGCTTAGTTGGGGACACTTATTTTCCAGCGATATTGTCGACTTGATTGCACAGATACTATTTAAACTGAACTGAGCTGGATGATGACATCGCTGAATTCAATGATGAACTGCCTTTTTTCAGTGTTTACTATTGTCCTTTTGCATTATTGACACACTATTTCCCTATTTAATACTGTAAAGCTGCTTTGATACAATCTGTATTGTTAAAAGCACTATATAAATAAAGGTAACTTGACTTGACTTGACCTCTCTCACTGTAAAACACAGGACCACCGCACAATCACAGAAATTGACACGATTGTTTCACGATGCCAATATTTCGTCCGGGACAGCTGAAAATCGTGCAGTGTGTTAGGGCTTTAATGGAATAAACTACATAAACTCTATTTACTACATTGCCTTTTCTCCCTGATTTGCGGTCTGGAGGAGTCAGTGCTAGTCAGAGCCAGTCTTCAGATTTTGGGCAGTTGGAGTTGACAGATTTCATAGAAAGTCATGTTGTGTATGATGGGCACAGATATTAGCTTCAGACTATAGGTTGTTAAAATCTGAAGGCTTGTTATAGTCTATAAGATGCACAGGATGGTACCTCCCAAAACTGATTTCGGATTGGCTTTCTGAGGCAGCATAATAGTTAAATGATCTACAACTAAACAGAGCAACAAAGCAAATATTTCATTTTGAATCGCGATCTCGATTCCATTTCGATTTATCGTGCAGCCCTCCTACAGCACTAATTTTCCACTAGAAATGACATTAAAAATTACGAGTAAGTAAAAAGGTACATTTACATGAAAACTGACCACCAACTGCAACTTTCAGACGCCATCTTTGCTTTTTAGTTCAATTATGGAATCGAATGAGGGAATTCCCTCAGATGATTGAGGGAAATCATCAATACTTCAGTAGACTGGATGTGACATGATCATTAGATTCGGACGTGCCTTGTTATCTTCCTACATCTATGTGCTGCCTGCAGAGGCTGCATTTCTCAGATTTTGGACGCAATCTATGATTCCGTCCAGCTGGAGGAGATTAAACATGTTTAGAACATTTATTGTTGGTAACACTTTAGTATAGGGACCAATTCTCACTGTTGCTTATTAGAAAGCCTATTATTTACATATTGGCTGTTTATTGGCAGATATTCTGCATGACCATATTATACATCCCTAACTCTACCCAATACCTAAACTCAACTACCTTACTAACTATTAATAAGCAGCAACATAGGGGTTTATTGAGGCAAAAGTCATAGTTAATGGTTTGTTAATAGCGAGAATTGGACCTTAAAATAAAGTGTGACCTTATTGTTTTCATTTGTCATGTGACTCCTTGCAACAAGACACACGTTTCTGTATGAGTTTGTTGTGCTCAGAACGACTGAATGAGTGAAGGTCTTCAGTCATTTAGTTTTCCTCTGTAACCATTTACAAAGTCAGCAAGTGTTTTATGCTTAGTGTTTTAAACATTTGTTCAAATTTTAATAGTTGTGCAGTGTATGCCAGCCTTCACCATCAACCACAAAGAGATGTTTTGAGAATGTTTAAGCAGGTTCGATGTTAATAACACCAAACACCACTGTTCCTCATAACAGATCATGCAGAAGGTTGAACTACTTTAATGTACTGTACTAATGTACTGTGGTGGATCTGGATATAACTGTCCTGTATACCTGCACAATTCACAATTGTACAAACCGTATAAAATGTACTAAGGGATCGCACAATACCCACAGACATTGGTTTTAGTCTAATGGCCCTTGGCCTTAAAAGCCCTGTGCATCTGTAGGCTATGCCCATTTTCCTCAGTCGTTCTTAGCAGAAACCTGTTTTTAATACATCCAGGTTAGTAGAAGGGTCATTATACAGCATCTAAACACGTGTGGCGCACAAACACTGCTGTGATTGTTAACGGCAAATTATATTCCCATCCATTCTCCATTTACTGCAGATTGTACAGCCAGGTTGTTTATAAAACATTAAATCAAATAGCTTTAAACATCAATTAAAGAAAACAATGTGCACATAAAACTGAGACCACACAGACAGACTAGAGGCTAATGTTCATACTGAGGTGCATTAGCTCTGTTTGGAAGTCAGATGTAAATAAAACATGTCAGTAAAATGATCATGTTAATTTAATTCAATGCCGTTATATGTTTAAATATGGACCATCTTTACATTAATGGGTCTGAGGCAGTTTTGTTATGGGATGTCCCCCGACTCCCTGTTGAAAAAACAGCATATGCTGGTTAGGTATGTTTTGACGCTGGGATGCTGGTTTAAGCTGGTCATGTGCTGGCAAAGGACCAGCATAAACCAGCCGAAGGACCAGCATAAACCAGCCGAAGGACCAGCATAAACCAGCCGAAGGACCAGCATAAACCAGCCGAAGGACCAGCATAAACCAGCCGAAGGACCAGCATAAACCAGCCGAAGGACCAGCATAAACCAGCCGAAGGACCAGCATAAACCAGCCGAAGGACCAGCATAAACCAGCAAAGGACCAGCTTAAACCAGCAAAGGATCAGCATAAATTTTCTTCAATCAATTTGATGTGGAGTCTCAAATGATCCCCTCCTATAACTTCTCTACACATTCATTAGTCCATCCCCCCCATATAGTGACTATTACGCCAGATTCCTCTGGAACCATCACCATCTTAGAGGATCAAGTAAGAAGGGAATTGAGCAGGCTTAGCCCCACAAAGGCTGTGGGCCCTGATGGAATCAGTCCTAGAATACTGAAAGCCTGTGCCCCGCAACTTTGTGGTGTGCTACAATACATCTTTAATTTGAGCCTATATCTGGAGAGGGTCCCAGTGCTATGGAAAACATCTTGCTTAGTGCCGGTACCAAAAGTTGCACGGCCCTGTGTACCCAATGACTACAGGCCAGTAGCACTGACCTCTCACCTAATGAAAGTTTTTGAGAGACTGATCCTCAGATCCATTCGGCCCCTTGTCAAACCCTTCCTTGATCCATTACAGTTTGCCTACCAGCCTCAACTTGGAGTGGATGATGCTATCGTCCATTTGCTCCATCGAACCTATACTCACTTAGAGAAACCGAGGAGCTCTGTGAGGTTTATGTTTTTTGACTTCTCTAGTGCCTTTAACACCATCAGGCCCACTCTACTGGAGGAGAAGTTGAAGAACATGCAGTTGTACACTCCTCTGGTCTCTTGGATTATGGACTACCTCACTGGCCGCCCCCAGTACGTCCGCATACAGAACTGTGTGTCCGACACTGTGATCTGCAGCACCGGTGCTCCTCAGGGGACAGTTCTTTCTCCCTTCCTCTTCACCCTGTATACATCTGATTTTAGTTATAACTCCGAATTCTGCCATCTTCAGAAGTTTTCTGATGACTCTGTAGTTGTAGGATGTATTCAGGGTGGTGACACCTCAGAGTATCAGACGGTAGTGGACAACTTTGTTACCTGGTGTGAGCTAAACCACCTACAGCTCAATGTCAGGAAAACAAAGGAACTTGTAGTGGACTTTAGAAAATCCAGGACCCCCGTCACTCCTTTGTTTGTCCATGGTGAGGAAGTGGAGATTGTTGCAAATTACAAATACCTGGGAGTCCATATAGATAACAAACTGGACAGCACTCTTTAAGAAACGTCAAAGCAGGTTGTATTTTCTGAGGAGACTCAAGTCTTTTAACGTCTGCGGTGTCTAGTGTCATTTTCTATGCAGTGGTCTGTTGGGGAAGTAGTATGAAGGTGGCAGACAGAAATAAACTGGACAAACTAGTTAGGAGGGCTGGCTCTGTACTTGGCATGGAGCTGGACCCTGTTCACGTTGTGGCTGAGAGAAGGATGTTGTCAAAACTTTACTCAATCATGGACAATCCTTCTCACCCACTACACAGTGTGCTGGTCGACTAGAGGAGCACATTCAGCCAGAGACTGATTACTGCCAAGTGTTCCACTGAGCGCTTCAGAAGATCCTTTATCCCTGTGGCCATTAGGCTGTACAACTCCTCTCTATAAGTGCTGGGACATTTTTTGAGTAATGCATGTGCAATACATGTTCATTTTATATGCAATAAGGGGACTTTTTCTTGTGCAATGCAATTTATTATTATTATTATTACTGCCTATTTATTAATACTAAGATTAGTGTGCAATACATACTATATAACTACTGTACTTAATTACCATTACCATATTGGACTTATTATATTCCACATTTGTCATTTTATTCCACTTTAATTAATTTTATATTTGATCTAAACTACCATTTTTACTGGTATAGTTTTATGTTATTATTTACATGTGTTATATTGTTACTTATTTATTTTTATTTTATTTTATTGATATATATATATATATTAACCAGCATCCCAGCGTCAAAACATACCTAACCATCATATGCTGGTATTTTCAACAGCTCCCCTCAAGAGTTGGCAATATAACAGAGGCCCTCAGTGGTCCCCCTTTGTCACAAAAACTGCTTGTCCCCCACAAATCTAAAATAATAATAATAATAATAATAATAATAATAAACAAATAAAATATTAATAAAATAAAAAAAACGATGTAAAACTTTGTAAAAGATAATATGATATGATATAATATACATCATTATTGTTATCATTATTAGCCACACTAATTATTTGTTTGTTTGTTTTTATTATTTATACGTGATTTTAGTTTTATTTCGTTCTTCTAGAATTATACGGTGAACTTTCCCGGGAAAGTAAAATATGTAGCTCACGGCAACAAACTTTCCACCAATCAGAGCGCAGAAACGCGTTCCCTGTCCGGCCAACAGCCAATCAGAGCGCAGAGCCAGTCTCCTGTAGACAGTAACATGGAAGAGCAGACGGAGCTGAGCTTTACAAACACAGCGAGCAGAGAAAATCAAAGCAGCTCCTAACCTGTGCTTCCGAGCGCGTTTCGCCGGTTTTGTTTCGAAGAAAGGCGTTTTTCTGAGGTGATGAGGATGTTGGGCATGTATGTGCCGGACAGATTCGTGCTGAAGTCCTCTAAAGTTCAGGACGGGATGGGGCTGTACACTGCCAGAGCAGTCCACAAGGTTCGTGCATACAAAACTAACTCTCAGCATGAAAGATGAAGTCTTTCTTTCAGCCTACTGTTTTTACTTAGCACAGAAAGCATTGAGTATATACTCCTGGTTGTAGTTGCATTCCTCTGTGTATGTGCTTACGTGTGCTGCCACGTCCCTGACAAACAATCTCCATGGTAACCATCGTTTCCGCCAAAAATCCATCATGCCAACCACCATTTCCGGCACACTATACAGCTACTGGAGATATTACAGTACAACTGTGGGAACGTGATATTAGTTTCCTATTGCACTCCACTGGCTTAAAAAATAAAACACATACCAGAAAGAGTTTGCTCTGTTTGAAAGAGATCCGGTATTTACTTTTTTTTACATTTTGCAAAAACAATAAATAGGCTATAGTTACTGTGATATTTGACTGTAAGTGTGGCTCACTGTAGAAACCGTTTGTAAGATGTCTGCATCACAAAGCACATGTCCTGCTTATATTTCACCCCAACATAAGAACATGCACAATTTTAAAAATAAGAGTAAAACGTGTAGAGCAATTGTCATCTACATACATACATACAATATTATAATTTAAAATAGTTGCACTTAATCATTTAAATGGTTTTCACATTTTATTTGCACTTTTATATATATATATATATATTAGCATTTGTTTTCACTTATTTGCTAATATATACCCTTGTAAAAAATAAGTACACTTCAGCGTATCTTTAAAAAAAGTACTTATGTAAATAATATAGGCTACTTTAAAAGAATATACTTAAGCGCAAACTAAATGTAATGATTTCAGACACTTAATTGCATGTTATTTACAATTAAATGAAAACGTGTAAAAGTTTAAAATGTATATTAAATGCAACTAGTTGAACTTAGTGGCGCTTTTTGACCCACTCAATTATGTTTACATTGGTATGTCATTTCATAATTACTTTAATCGTCTTTGAAATATGGTTTAAGTGTGCTGTCAAATGTACTGACAATCATTTATGTCATTTCTGTTGAAACTTGTATGTCATGCAGTTAAATATCTTTGTGCTGACGAGGTTGCGTTTTAGTTAGGCCTGCACGATATTGGTTTTTTCAATATCGTGCAGCCCGAACTAAAATGCAACTCGCATTGCGATATTTTGTTTTTCTGTGATTATATATTGCGATATGAAAAAAAAAAAAATCACCAGATGACTTGAATAGCTCTATTTGGAAAATAAAAATGATAATCAATGATTGGGGTGATTTTGTAGGTGAGTAAATACTTGCAGAGACGTGCATTTTGACATAGTTTCGTGCGTATGTGTCATTTCAGGCACAAATAGTAGCGGAAGTGAACAGAATTCAGAGTTCACGTGCATCTGTGTTGCTCTCACCGTGTCTACACTGGACGCGAGTGGCGCAGCAAAATACAATAGAACCCATTATAATCAGTGATGCTGTGTGACTGACTACACTGGATGCGTTGCGACCATAGACTGTATAAAAACATGGATGTAGTGTTCCTGACGTCACCCGTAGGTTTCTGAAGAGCGGTTTTGAAGCTCAAAGTGGGCGGAGCCGGCCATCGCAGTGCGTCACCGCGCGTCACTCCCGGATAATCGAAAATGGGCAAAGAGGCGGGAGCTGGCTGCTGAAACCACGCCCACCTAGCTCGACGGTGGTGACAGCAGCGGCAATCCACCTCAAGTGGCCACGCCCTTAATTATGCAGAACTTTAAGACTTAATATAATTTAAACGGATGAGTTATAAAAAAAATGCACCCCCCTCACAGTTGTCATGAACGGCAAAATTAGCTATATAGACCAAAAGCACTTTTTGTACCAGGCTGCTAAATTTTTTTTCTGCTGTAAAGTTGGCTTGGGCGCGACACAACAAATCCCTACAGTAAACTGATGCCTCGTTCTATTTATGACGTACTGACACAAAGTTCAAATTATATGCAACGGTCGCTTTGCCGCTTTGGGGTCGTTCACACGTCGCACCTAAAAACGCATGGAAAACGCCTGCCGCGCCGCTTTCTCCATTTAAAAAAAAAATGGGTATCTCTGTACTGCTGTCGCGTCTGGTGTAGACACAGTGTCTGTGTGTGAGCAAAGAAAACTATCAGTATAAATATAACAATCAGAAGCCTAAACATTGCACATCCTGCGCATCGCGATATCGATGCTGAAACGATATATATCGTGCAGCCCTAATTTTAGTACATATAACATCTAACATTAATATATTTTATGTGCTTCTATTGTCCTCATTTGTAAGTCGCTTTGGATAAAAGTGGCTAAATGACTAAATGTAAATGTAATGTAAGTTTTATAAACGTGCCTTAGAAAAAATCTTTACTGGTGTGCATTTTGAGACAAAACAAAGGCACTGACATGTTTTAAGATCAATCAGTGCAAGTATCTTTCAGTTGAAACCGCTCAGACTTGCATTTTAGTCTGGGACTAGATTAAGCCTTGTCTGTGAAACTGGGGGATAATGATTTAAATTGTACTTTAAAGTAGGCCTAAAACTTTTTAAAAGTGTACTTAAGTGTGTTAAGAAATGTAGTCATGAAAGTGTACTTCCTTTAAGTACACTTGAGTGGCATTTCATTTAATCAATATTATGCTAGTTACGAGTACAATTAGTACAAGTACATTGGTCTTTTTTTTTAAATATGCTTTTAAGATTTGAAATACACTAAATTGCACATTCGATAATGGATGGGAATGTATAAAATATGAAACAAAGTTAGTAAATTTCACAATCAAAATCTGCCATTTTTTAAGTAGAAAGACTGAAATAGCATTATCTTGTGAAACATACTCCAATAATAATCTTTTTTGATTTACAATTTTGAAAAACATTTTTTTTTTACAGTGTACTGTATATATAATCACTTTATTTCTTAAGATTCAGCCTGGTATCTCCTGTTTCACTTTCTTTGCTTGTCTTGAGTTTTCAATTGGTCTCATCTTAATTAGATCAAGTCACCTGAAGCATACACAAGCCTAAGCAAATGTAATTTGCAGATTTCAGACCATTTTTAACATATATTGCATGTTCTGAACGTGTCTGAGTCGACTTGACATCTCTCTAAATGTGTACATCTCAGAATAAGCTCTATGAGTGGAGAATCAACCCATAGACGCTTAGAGATCCCACAGAGCCGTTCCTTGATCCTGTTCAGATAGCACACAGAAACTGCTGGATGTGACATCAAAGCCCAGTCTCACACACACACACACACACACACACACACACACACACTCGCTCTTTCTTCACAGGGTGAGAAGTTTGGTCCGTTCGCAGGTGAAAAGCGGATGCTGAGTGACTTGGATGAAAGCATGGATCCACGACTGATGTGGGAGGTGGGTGACTAGACTCAACAATCTTTTCATCGCTTTACCCACAATGCATTGCTATACGTTTTTTGTTTTTGTGTCACTTCAAAGGCAACTCATATCTTATCAACCCTTTCGAAATGCTAGATGCTAGTTTATATCTGGCCTATTTTAGAATGTATTTATGTTTTTCTGAAGAGAATGAGAGTGGTTGCCCATACAAACTCACCGTGACCACGCTTGACTGCTGGGATTGTTCATATTTAATTGCCAAGGTGTCCTGAGTGCTTTATAATGTGTTGATTTATAGTTTTCTAGGTATTAGCTATAGGTGTCTGTCTCTGATTTTTTGTTGTTGTTGTTGTTGTTCTTTTACCCTTGTCTGTCCCTCCATTGACAGTCTATGCAACTACCACTTTGACGCTTCAAAAAGTTCAAAAAGAGTTTGTAAAACTAATGGGGATGATTAGTGGTAATAGTCCAAATTTTCTGAAGAGACTAGTGGTTCAATGGATCACAAATCTCACTGTTTGGATCATATTACGGTTTTTGAGCCACGGATCGGATACATTTTCGGATCAGCAAGAAAAAAAAAATCAATGTAACTTTGCTTTCCATTACTCAAAGCTAAGTACTTCTATACCACAGCAAAAACTCTTAGCCTAAGAATGTTCAAACATTATTAAGGAGACAAGTGAACGGCCAGTAGAAATAGGAACAAATACACAAATTACAAGCATAGATAAATACAACAGAACAACGTTACAAATAAAATAAGGTCGGTAGTATTCAGGTACAGAAATGTAATAATTAAGTGTAAAATAACACTGCATAGTGTTCACAGTATAAATTAAATATAGATTCATCTTTGTCAAAAACATGTTTTGTTGTTTGATGAGCATAATGACAGCACCAGGTGTTATTAGGCTGCTGCACCTTTAAGACCTGATGCACGGATCCAATATAATGATACACATCCGATTTCTTTCTCTGCTGTTCTCATTCACTTAAGACACAACAGACTGAACAGCATTTACCACAATGATTGTCGAGATCAGTATTTTGTCATACTTTTATGTGTATATGCATGTGTTCAATGGCAAGGAGTGAAGGAGATACGAAAGAGGGTTCAGTTCGGTGTTACGTGCTTCATATGTGTGCATCTGCGAACATAGAAAACAACGTGCAAGTAACGAATCGAGTTCCCTTTCGCCTTTTCTTTTGCTGGAATGGTTTAAAATCGCTTGCGTGTGTAAACATACAATTGACAAACGTTCACTCTATTGTGGTTAAATTTTGCAATTAATCTGCGGATCACATGCGTGCCGAAACTGTGGTGCTTGGTCTGTACGGATCACAGATCAACTACGATCCGTTCAACCACTAGAAGAGACTCGATCGCTTAATATGATGAACGGATATAATTTAGGCCTTTATTCACATTAATCAATGCACAAGTCAATTGTGGCAAACTAAGCATGCTTGCTTGACATGTGAGAACCAATGAGGTTCAGTTTCGTGAGTTGCACAGCACTTTTGAACTTATGCAAGAACCATGTTATGTGGATAAAAGCCTAAATTCATTCTGTTCATCATAGGGCAGGGCGATATGGCCTAAAACCAAAACCTTGATTAGTTGAACACTTTATACCTCGATTACGATTATTTTATTTTTTTTATATTTCTTTTTGTGCCCTCATAGTCCATTAACGGTTTGTACTATAAATATAGCTACTCAACTATTAAAGGTGGGATTATTTTTTCTTATCTTTGTGATTTTTAAATTGAAGGAAACAAACTATTTATGGTTATTTGCTGAATATTTTGAACAATTGAAATCAAAGATTGCTTGAAATGAAGACGTCTTATGAAAAAAAAGTCACATTTCAGTTTAATTGTAAAAAGCAAGTTTTCTAAAAAAAAAATTAAGTTACTTTAATTTTTTTGCAAACAAAATAAATTAATATTGTGTCAAAAGTCGAAAATAACCATCATCTCTTGCAAACAAAATACATTTTATATACTGTCATGCGAAAAGTAGAAAATAACTTGTATCTACTGTAAATTAGTATTATTTTAAATCATGAAATGTGAAAAGTAGAAAATAACTTGCATCTCCTGTAAACAAATGTTTTAATAAACTAATGAATGTAACTAGAACACTGTTGATTAAGAGAAAGAGCAGGGCAGCATCTCTGTGATCTTGTCTTGTCACTCCATATGCATATTTGCTCTAGGTTCTTACTGGCCATTCACAGAACATGTCTTTGTTGTTTTAATAATTTTTGTCATGTTTTAAAGAAGTACACTTATTTTGATGTGTTGACCAACATACTAAAGCATGTTAAATAATTACAACTTTAGTGTTTTATTCAGTTAATACATTTGAAATGAACATGACATACAAGTTTTAATAGAAACAACATTACAATTACAATTCAGTTTATCATAAATACTTGTCAGTACTGTACACTTTAACCATATGAAGTCCTAATTAAGTGGGTCAAAAAACACTTTAGGGTTCAACTAATTGCATTTAATATAAATTTAAACTGTGATATTTTTTTTCAGTATTTTGCATGTAATATGCAACTGAGTGTCTGAAATATTACATTAATTTTGCACTTAATTAAATTCTGGTAAATAGTGACATGGCTTAAAGGGGTCATATGATGCTGCTAAAAAGAACATTATTTTGTGTATTTGGTGTAATGAAATGTGTTTATGCTGATTGGCCAGCTATCCAGTGCGTTGTGATTGGCCGAATACCTCAAGCGTGGGACGGAAATGTTGCGCCCCTCACCATACTGTGATGCCCTGTGTCCCGGCTGGAGCGCAACATAAAACCATGTTTGCATTTGTGATCAGAGAAATGACAAACAACAAGTACTGCTCTACACTGCCCAAAAAACTTGTGTTTGAATCGTCAGTGGCAAATCCTTTAAATATAAAAAACGTACTTACAGTCTGTGAGTCAGAACAGCCGGCATTGTAGTCTACTCTCCCAGGATCAGGAAACAGTCCTCCATAAAATGTGCTGCACACATCTGAATATTTGGGTTGAACTGTTCTGGAACAGTGTTGTAACTACAACTTAACCACTGATTTCTAGTCGTGTCCTCTTTTGGAAGACCAAACAAAGTAATTTTGCTTTCACAACGGAAAAGCGTCACACACCGCGGCCTAGAATGAGCAGAGGCCGACTTGAGTGAGCAGAGGCGGCGGGCTTCAGAACGGCGCGGCCGGCGGATTCGACGAAGGAGCGTCCGGTGGGTTTGTGGCAACCACATGTGACGACCCCGGGCTGGACTCCGCTTCGTCCACGGTGAAAGCCGATCCGGCGATTCACAGCGCGAAGTTGATGTATTTCCTCAGCGACCAGCACGGATCAGCTCCAGGCATGACGAAGTCCTCTTTTGGAAGACCAAACAAAGTAATTTCGCTTTCACAACGAAACACAGCGTCTTCACGACATGGCAGCGGCAGCAACAATACTACAGCGAGAATAAAAGTTACACCTTTCTTTGCGTGAACATTTGGGTGGCGTTATGCAAATCTTCCCACACAGTGAGGTAGACATGTGGGGGCGTGTTAGAACGAGCCGTTTTAGATACGGACTTAGAACTTTACAGATCTTCTTTATATGCACCAAGAGCTTTTAACACTCCAAAGAGAAAGGACAAATTGAAATCGCATCATATGACCCCTTTAATTCTCTCATTCATTGCAAGTCTGTTGGACTTTTTTCCTGTTTTATTGTTCACCAGACAAAAACACCTCTCAACAAGTCACATGACTTGTTGTTTCATTCATGTCTGTAGCACAAACAGTGTGGGATGAGTTACACCAAAGTTTAATACTTTGGGTTAGAGGTGTGCTCAGATAACATTAACACTAATAGTCATGTTTGTCTTTGCAAAGACCACTAATACCGTTTTTAGATTTGTTTGCGTTTGGATCTCTCTGAGTGCGATCTTTGAGGTCTGACTGAATTTTAACTGTCTTGGAGAAGTTGTTGCCCCTCTTGTTCAGACAGATGCATCACTGCTCATCTCCAGGCAACCGTTAATTGGACGAGACATGCCAGCATGAACTCAACTCACGCTGACTCTCCCATGCCAGACACGTCTCCCAGTGCATGCCGTATCTAATATCCCATCAAATATCTGTGCTCGAAACTAAAGATTTGGGTTTATTTTCGGCTGCATTAAAGTTTTAATTATAACGCAGACCAGGTCGGGTTCAGCCACATTAGAATTGTGATTTATTGATCTGCCTGCCCCGATGACACTATTCTGCACAAAGTATAGTGAGCTTAAGTTCTCCCAAATTACACACTTGGGCATATAATTATTATGATAGATCATCTTAGTATGCAATCTTTGACTGTGCCGCTCTTTCATTCTGCTTGTGTGTTGTGATGCAGGCAATTTCAGGGAAATTACCTTTCAAGATTAGTCAGAATAAGTCGCTATTAGTTGGCGTTTCAGTAAGTTAAGAATAAGAAACATCTCAAAATAATAATTTGTATCCAAAAACAGTAACCAAGGTACTCGTCAGATTTGGGAAAAGAGCATTCCTGTGGGAAGTGAGCAATTTTCCTGATTCAAGACTGGAATTTCAGACACCAGCATCTACCATCTGTGCGCTTACAATGATGTATGTCTGATTACACCCCTAGTAAAAAAAAGTAATATATTTAAAATACATTTAAAAGTATATGTAACATATTTATTGACATATTGCTGCAGACTTACGGATATAACAATTGTAATGCAATGTTATTTGGAGTACTATACTTGTGCACAATGCACATTTCTTAACATTAAGCCTAAATATCACCATTGACGAGGACTGTATGATCTTTGAATAATATCAGTCTTTAAATGCAAGATATTTAAAGTGTACCTGAAGTATACTTGCAAATGTTTCTACTTTAGCACAATCAAATACTTCAGTATATCTTTAGTTGGACTTCAGCACAAAAGTGCATTAAATACAAAAATAGTTTTAATAATTTTAGTATACTAAAAGTAGAATTGTAGGGTATTTTTAATAAGTAAATACATATGTAAATGTATTTGTAGTAAATTCAAACACTATTTAAAATACATTTTATTTAGTATATAATTTTTTTTACGAGGGACGTCTGTAGGTTGTACTTGTAACTGGTTCTCTCAAAGTAATACTGTTGTGTACGCAAATTTGTTAGTAAAATTATGCTTGATAACTGCTGTGTAGGTTTATGGAAATGCATTGTCATTGGATATACTTGTCAGTCTTGTTTTATCAATAAAGAATGCCATTGTACTTGCATAATAAGTAGGGATCCGTTAAAATTCTGATCATGTCATGTTATGGCAGATTAAAATGTATAAAATTTCTGTCTAAATCAATTAAAAATAAAATACTAAACACAAAATGTGAAGTGAATTTAAGCATCATGACATTATAATGTGCTGTATGAAAAAATCTTATAAAGATTGCAAGGTCTCAAGACATGGTTTGCAAAAATTAAGCGTTAGCGTTAGTCCTGGCAGGTCACGTGAGTCAAGCTTGCGTCAGCTGATTCTCAGCTGATCACATCTACCTATAGGAATACGACACCTATCGCAGCATTCCTATATAAGCTCTATTCAGTATTATTCAGCAGCTTTTCAGCTTGCTTCGGAGCAAATTACCCTCCTCCATCCCCAGCTCCTCCTTTCGCCACAGTCAGGGCTTGGCTTTCTGATATTCCTTGCTAATCAGACTCTTTTATCTTGAATAAAGTGTTACACTTAAATATCAAGTACATTAATGATATCTGCCTTGTTCTGTTCTGTTCTGTTAACCCTAGGGGTGTTATTATTGCTGCTCTCCCTGCTCATTCATGACAGGCTGCATGGATGGGCAGGGAGTTTTTTGCCCAGAACAGAACCATACCACCAAACCAAACTTTATGCTAAGTATCATTTTGACGATAGTGGTCCTGACAGAAGTTACATTTCTTATAACTTGAGGTACATGCAACGATGCGTCATGTGCGAGGCGCTGTTAAAGACACAGTGGTCGAACATATCCGTCTAGTGCATGTTTACATTGAAAAACAATGAAAAATAGTGCAGTGGATTGGAAAAACGTGTTGTGTGTGTGAACAAGTGTTAAGTGTAACTAACTTAGTGTTAGTAAGAGGTCAGTAAAAGTAATCAAAATGTAAAATAGGGAAAATTAACATAATTAAATATCCAATATTGACTGATATATCCAATATAGACTGATACCAATAAATTAAAAATTGTCTAACATTGAGTGTTGACCAGTATGTTATTGATATACAGTGGTGGCCAAAATTGTTAGAACACTTGGCATATTTAAGAGGTTTCAGTTGTTTTTGTTGAATTGGCCATTACAATACCCATAAAATGAACTATTGCTGGATCTACCTGCGACGGAAGGAATCTGCTGCAACATTGAAAATGATGGACTGGCTCCTCAAAGTCCAGACCTCAACCCCATAGAGCAAATTTGGAGCGAGTTGGAAAATACGTTCAAAGGAAAAACATTTAAAGGAAAGCCTTTGGCTTGAGTTGCAGAAGGCATGGGATAACATTAGTTTTGTAGTTCTCAGGAAATATATTGACTCTATGCCAGAGAGATGTGCTGCTATAATTGCTGCAAAAGGTGGACGCACAAAATATTTAAGTTAGAAGTGGATAAAAAAAAAACAGACGCTATGCACTTGGACGCTATGCAATTCATGAAAGCATCTCGAGTGGATAAAGCTTTGGATTTTTAATGGACACTGTGCTTTCAATGAGTGTTTAGAGGCTGTTGAGAAGCATGCTTTGAGGAGCAGCATTGCCACTTTGATTCTGATTGGCTGGCTTGTGACCTGTGAATCTGTGTGCTTCTGCAGGTTCGAGGGAATAAAGGGGACGTGCTTTATATCCTGGACGCTAGTAACCCTCGCCATGCTAACTGGCTTCGCTTCGTTCATCAGGCCCCTTCACAGGAGCAGAAGAACCTGGCCGCCATTCAGGTATGAGAAGATGCCACAGCCTGATAACCACAGAGATCTCTTTACACTCTCTCACATGCACACTGTTGCTGGGTACTGACTTACATAGACAGCTGCCTTCTAAAGAGCTTTATTTTAGTGGCTGATTCGGAACACTGTATAGACAAAAAGTCTGCATCAACCTACAAGACGTGTAAGTAAGGCTTACCTGGTATTGAGTTTGGGGTTAGCATGTTTCTAAGCTAGCACTGCAAAACTCTAAAAGTGTGGTCATATTTACACGTGAGAGTAAAAGCTTTCCACACACATATTTTGCTACAAGTTTGCCGAACTGATCAACAGAAAGCTGCTTAGTTTGAAAGTAAAAAAAAAAAAAATTGAAAGTTAGTTTAGAATTTTTTTAAAATTATTATTTCACCCAAAAATGAACATTTAGTAAAAATGTATTCACCCTCAGGCCACCCAAGATGTAGATGAGTTTTGTTTCTTCATCAGATTTGGAGAAATGTAGCATTGCATCACTTGCTCAGCAAAGGATCCTCTGCAGTGAATGGGTGCCGTCAGAATGATAGTCCAAACAGCTGATAAAAACATCACAATAATCCACAAGTAATCCCCCACCTCTCCAGTCCATCAGTTAATGTCTTATGAAGTGTAAACCTGCGTGTAAGAAAGAGTCATTAGTAAGATGGTTTAACTTTAAACAGCTCTAAACAAGTATGTGAGTGGATTTTGATGTGAGGGACAATAGGAGGAAGTGTTTTTTTGGATTCTGTATTTTGGCCAGAAGTGACGGTTTAAAGTTGGGTTTGTTTCTTACAAACACACAGCTCCACAAGATGTTAATTGATGGACTGGAGTCGTGTGGATTACTTTTGGATCATTGTGGTGTATATTTATCAGACTCTCATTCTGACGGCACCCATTCACTGCAAGTGATGCAATGCTACATTTCTCCAAATCTGATGAAATTTCATATTTGGGAAAACTATTCCTTTAATTTTGATATTTTTGATGGATTTTTTTTCCCACTAAGATTGTCACAGTGCTTTGTGGGTTTGCCTTCAGAACATGTGTGATGCAGCCTTAGTTTTGGTTAAAATTAGGTAAAAATGTTTGTGGTTTTGCAACAGCTTTCACATATAGGGTACACCTATGATTCCTTAAAGTGCTGCCTACGTAGGCCACTCATTAGGTTTGGGTACAGAGCCACAGAGTGTGACAGCTGCTTTGCATAAGGCTCAGAAACAGAAGCAGACAGCGGAGAGAATGAGATGGAATGAGTTGTTTGTTATGTCTGGCAGTGTTGATGTGCTTTCGCAGTGCCAGAGATCTGAAAACACCAAAGAGTGTGGAGATAAGAGGAGTGTAATGAGCCTTAGATCAATAACACACACACACACACACACACGTGGGCGTACACATTTGAGGTCACATGAGCTGGATATGGCAGTTGAGTAGTAACCAATGGTGCAGTGATCTGGCAACCTCCAGTGCCCTAATCACAGTCAGTGTTAATGCACCTGTAGAACCTCATGATTCAGATGCAATTATGGGAAAAATGCTGTGATTTCAGATGATTTCACAGCTCATCTCAACATGTAAAAACATAACAAATCTTTGTGCTTAACATGCAATAACTCGCTGGAGGGTTCACTGTAGAATCAATCGCAACAAAAATAGAATGCAAATGTGTAGTATGATTCTGTATGGTAGACCTGTTCCTAGGGTTGCACGATGATAGATAATAAAATTCAACAAAATTGTTGTAATTTAAGATATTTCTTCATAATTTCATGTAAGCACCAATCAAGAGAATGTCAACTTAAATGCATTATTTATATGAGCTCATCTCGTTTACTGATTTATTATATTTATCATATACATTGACATGCTCTCTACCTTATGGAAACTGGTATAACGAATCTTCTAAAGCTAAATCAAAAGCTAAGAAAGTGAAATACCTAATTTTATTTAAAATAATTGCAATCGATATTTAATATTTCCAATTAATTCCAGTAATTTCAAAACAATGTAAGAAATTGTTTTGACATTTTTGGATAAAAATTCAGCAGTCAGATCTTTACTGTAATAATAAATAAAAAAATAAAACAAATAAATAAATACATAAAAAAATGGTAGCAACCTTTTTATTTTTAGTTTACAGATTGAAATTAAATTTACAGTATATCTGGTGTCATACACATAAATTACCTTGTTGTGACAAACATGACAATAAAATAAGACTTATTTTAAAGTAATTTTACAGTATTTTTCTTTAAAAAAAAAAAATTTAAATTCCAGTGATATATATACTGATACATCTTTCCCCTGTATATAGTAAGGGAACGTAAAGTGCCCCTATTATGCTATTTTTAAAGGGATAGTTCACCCAAATTCTGTCATTAATTACTTACCCTCATGTCGTTCCAAACCCGTAAGACCTTCATTCATCTTCGGAACACAACTCAAGATATTTTTGATGGAATCTGAGAGCTCTCTGACCCTCCCATAGACAGCAACACAACTGAAATGTTCCCACGTCCAGAAACATAGCAAGGAGATCTGTAAAATAATCCATGTGAAAAAAAACGACTTTATTCAACAATTCGCCTCCTCCGCGTCACTCTGTAGCGCGATTTTGGAGAGTATCAGCTGGACGTAAACGTTTGTATGCAGTTCTGTGCCAGCTGCGTGATTTGATCTGAACGGAAACAGCGTATCCGCGTGACGCAGCTGACAGAACAGCATATGTTGTTTTACGTTCAGTGGATATTCCCTAAAATGGCACCAGGGTGATGCGGAGGAGACGAATTGTTGAATAAAGTCGTTATTTTTTTTTCTTTTGTGCACAAAAAGTATTCTCGTAGCTTCGTAAAATTACGGTTGAACCCCTGATGTCACATGGACTATTTTACCGATCTCCTTGCTACGTTTCTGGACTTGGGAACATCGATAAGACAAGAGACCATAGACTGTATAAAAACATGGACGTAGTGTCCGTGACGTCACCCGTAGGTTTCTGAAGAGCGCTTTTGAAGCTCAAAGTGGGCGGAGCCAGCCGTCGCCATCTTGGCAGCACGTCACCGCGCGCGTATCACTCCATTTAAGATATTTCTTCATAATTTCATGTAAGCACCAATCAAGAGAATGTCAACTTAAATGCATTATTTATATGAGCTCATCTCGTTTACTGATTTATTATATTTATCATATACATTGACATGCTCTCTACCTTATGGAAACTGGTATAACGAATCTTCTAAAGCTAAATCAAAAGCTAAGAAAGTGAAATACCTAATTTTATTTAAAATAATTGCAATCGATATTTAATATTTCCAATTAATTCCAGTAATTTCAAAACAATGTAAGAAATTGTTTTGACATTTTTGGATAAAAATTCAGCAGTCAGATCTTTACTGTAATAATAAATAAAAAAATAAAACAAATAAATAAATACATAAAAAAATGGTAGCAACCTTTTTATTTTTAGTTTACAGATTGAAATTAAATTTACAGTATATCTGGTGTCATACACATAAATTACCTTGTTGTGACAAACATGACAATAAAATAAGACTTATTTTAAAGTAATTTTACAGTATTTTTCTTTAAAAAAAAAAAATTTAAATTCCAGTGATATATATACTGATACATCTTTCCCCTGTATATAGTAAGGGAACGTAAAGTGCCCCTATTATGCTATTTTTAAAGGGATAGTTCACCCAAATTCTGTCATTAATTACTTACCCTCATGTCGTTCCAAACCCGTAAGACCTTCATTCATCTTCGGAACACAACTCAAGATATTTTTGATGGAATCTGAGAGCTCTCTGACCCTCCCATAGACAGCAACACAACTGAAATGTTCCCACGTCCAGAAACATAGCAAGGAGATCTGTAAAATAATCCATGTGAAAAAAAACGACTTTATTCAACAATTCGCCTCCTCCGCGTCACTCTGTAGCGCGATTTTGGAGAGTATCAGCTGGACGTAAACGTTTGTATGCAGTTCTGTGCCAGCTGCGTGATTTGATCTGAACGGAAACAGCGTATCCGCGTGACGCAGCTGACAGAACAGCATATGTTGTTTTACGTTCAGTGGATATTCCCTAAAATGGCACCAGGGTGATGCGGAGGAGACGAATTGTTGAATAAAGTCGTTATTTTTTTTTCTTTTGTGCACAAAAAGTATTCTCGTAGCTTCGTAAAATTACGGTTGAACCCCTGATGTCACATGGACTATTTTACCGATCTCCTTGCTACGTTTCTGGACTTGGGAACATCGATAAGACAAGAGACCATAGACTGTATAAAAACATGGACGTAGTGTCCGTGACGTCACCCGTAGGTTTCTGAAGAGCGCTTTTGAAGCTCAAAGTGGGCGGAGCCAGCCGTCGCCATCTTGGCAGCACGTCACCGCGCGCGTATCACTCCCGGATAATCAAAAATGGGCAAAGAGGCGGGAGCTGGTTGCTGAAATGACGCCCACCTAGCTCGACGGTGGTGACAGCAGCGGCGATCCACCTGTCACTCAACTGGCCACGCCCTTAATTATACAGAACTTTAAGACTTATTATAATTTAAACGGATGAGTTCACCAAAACCACTTTTTGTACCAGGCTGCAAACATGTTTTTTTTCTGCTGTAAAGTTGGGCATTTTAACATGGGGAGTCTATGGGACTGACTGCCTTTTGGAGCCAGCCTCTAGCGGCCAGTCGATGAATTGCAGTTTTAGTCACTTCCGTGTTGGCTTCACGAGAGAGAGCGGAAGGTTGCCGCTTGCTAGAGACTGATTCGCAAGCACGACTGGAGCAGGACGTTTCTCAGTGGTAAGTGTCAAGTGTTAACAAGTTTGTGGTAATTATAAGATGTGATAAAACAAATTTACTCTCACAGCGTAGGATACAGCGTCTTCTCGACATGATGTCAACCACATGGATATTTTACTGTTTGTCGGCGGGCAAGCTGGCGACGTAGAACGTGGGTGGACATTATGCAAATGTGTTACTTCGTGACGTAGAGCCGTAACAGGATGATTTCGAGCCGCCTCCTTTTTTTTTTTTTTTTTGATAGACAATAACTTTATTTATCGTGCACTGTCGGCTTCACAACTTTGCAGATAGTTTATGTTCACATACAGCTACATGGCACACTGCATGAAAGGTAATATTCGAAAAGGCATAATAGGAGCACTTTAATGTTAACCAATTAACATGTTTTTGCAGTAGATTTTTACAGTCATTTACTGTTAAGATTGCAGTCATTTTTCGCAGTCATTTGCGAAGAATATCTCAGTAAAGATGACTGTTTGATTATGCTTAATTCATCTAGATTAGCAGAAATTGTGATTTTTGTGGTTAAAATGCGATTTAGTGAAGTCCTATGTGTTCCCATAATATCAAGATTTTTTCTTTTATCGATAACATTGTCTTTTTTCAGTAAAATAAATTAATACTGTACTACTATAATACTATAAATGATTAATTATTAAAATTGAATGGTACATTTATATTTTTTATTATGAATGCTTTCACGTGGATGGAAGCAGACTCGTTTGCTCAATCTTGGCAGTGCACGGGTCTCTGGTGAGTTTGAGATGTTGGCGATCTCATGGCCATTACAGCAGAATCAAGAGAACAGAGTCTGTGTTTCCTCACACATGACACTTCTCTCACCATCTCCCGGTGGATAAATCTGGGGCTGTGATTTTAACATAATGTACAGCAACTGTGCTTATTTCTGCATGACCTTTTAGGAAATGAAGGTCTGACAAAGCCATTAAACAGAGGTTCAAGTGTTTGGCCTTTGACCTTAATCAGGAAGCGCTGCTGATCTTACGCTTCCCCTCGTGTTAATGTTTGATTGCGCCTCCCAGCAGATCTCTGTTGTGTTGTCTGTTTAGTGTCAGACGACACCTGGATCTTTGCTTTTCTTCGTCTAATTCAGTTTATGTCTTTTGTAATAAGACACAAACACAGACACAACAGTTACTTCTGGTTCTCTTATTGGCTGAGAGTCTTTCCAGCTATGCAATATTTTACCAGTATCAGCATGGGAACTGATAATATGTTGAAAATGAACCAATGCTGACTGCTTTGACTCAAGTTTATAACATGCAAACTCTAATATTTATTTTTGCATTTATTTTCTTTGGTACAACAGAAATTTCTTCTAACGAAGTCTTTACTGTCACTTTTGATCAGTTGAATGTGAATGAAGTAGCCGACACTGTCTCTTTAAACAGGATGGAGAGAATATCTTCTATCTGGCTGTTGATGACATCGAGACAGATACAGAGCTTCTGATTGGCTACCTGGACAGCGATATGGAGGAGGAAGAGGAGGACCTTGAGGAAGATCAGGACATCAAAGATGAAGATGGGAACAGTACAGAGAGCAAACACCTCAGTGCAGAAACCGGTATGTGTGTTTAGTGTCTTTCTGAAATGGATAATGAATTAATGGTTTTATGAGCAATTTACACAGAAATGTGTGATTGGGTCTACAGATAGCCATCTAGATCACAACAATATAATGACATAAATAACAATAATACTCGTTATGAATAAATACATGGTTCATGTTTTTATTGTAGTCTAATAGCCATGTAGTCATTATTGTGTTGAAAAGCAGCAGTAAAACAATAATTCAAAATCAGTTCTGCATATCGATTATCAGGCACTTAGGTGTAGTTCACCAAAAAATGAAGGTTTCCTGAAAATGTATTCACCCTCAGGCCACCCAAGATGTAGATGAGTTTGTTTCTTCATCAGATTTGGAGAAATGTAGCATTGCATCACTTGCTCACCAATGGCTCCTCTGCAGTGAATGGGTGCCGTCAGAATGAGAGTCCAAACAGTTGATAAAAACATCACAATAATCCACACCACTCCAGTCCATCAGTTAATGTCTTGTGAAGGCAAAAGCTGCATGTTTGTAAGAAACAAACCCATCATTAAGATGTTTTTAACTTGAAATTATCACTTCTGGCCATAATAGCATAATTAAAAGTCCATCTCCCGTTGCCCTCTCTTATCAAAATCCACCAACATATTTGTTCATATTTGTTTTGTTTTGGACTGTTTTCGTTCGTAATCGCTGCTTGATCTGTGCAGATTTCTCTACTGATTCACACAACTTATCATGTTTTATGATAAATATGGCAGCATTATATCAGCCAATGCAAAACTCGTATCAGCTGAGCACTGGTTCATAAAGTACGTTTAACTGTGTGTGTGTGTGTGTGTGTGTGTGTGTGTATAGAGCTGGTGATTAAGAAGGAAGATTACCCGTGTCTGCTGTGTGAGAGCAGCTTCCCCAGTGAAGAAGTGTTAGCTGAACATCTTCAGAGCCTTCATCAGAGAGGAAGAGCAGAGGACAAAGAGTTCAAATGTCACACCTGCGGAAAAGAGTTTCCTGTCAAACAGGCCCTGCAGCGCCAGTCAGTACCACACACACACACACACACACACACACATAGGTTTGTTTTTATGGTTTATGGGGACTCTTCATAGGCGTAATGGTTTTTATACTGTACAAACCGTATTTTCTATTGCCCTACACCAACCCTACCCCTAAACCTACCCCTTACAGGAGACTTTCTGCATTTTTAGAATTTCAAAAAAACTCATTCTGAATTATTTATAAGCCTTTTGAATTACGGGGACACTGAAAATGTCCTCATAAATCACCTTCCCGTTGTAATACCTATTTCATACCCATGTTATTATGCAAATTTGTGTCCACATAAACATGCACACATACACACACACACACTCTCTCTCTCTCTCTCTGACACACACACACACACTTTCACATTGTCTCATGTATTAATGCTGATGTCCTTTTGATTTGCAGTGTTCTTCACTGTACAGAGAGCTCTGCTTCATCAGGAGACCCTTCAAAAGCCCATCAGTGTGCCCTGTGTCACAGCACCTTCTGTTCAGAGTCCAGGTACATCAATATTTAATCGTTTACATACATTCTCATATGCATTCCCCGTTTTCATGATCCCCTGAATATCCAGTTTGACTCGGAAATATGCCACATTTCAGAAGAGAGCTACTAAAATTAAGTGTTTTTTAATGCGCAGTTTTGAGCAACACAAAGAGGTGTGTAAAGGAGACGGTCGGTTCATCTGTAAGTTTGAGAGCTGTGGGAAAAGATTCAGGAGTAAAGACGCCCTGAAGAAACACAAAGGCAACGTCCACACAGGTTTGTCTCACACACATACACATGCGAGAGAGAGACTGAGGCGAGTGCGAAATTACCCGTCTGTAATGAGAGTCTAATCAGCGGCTGTTTAACATCTTCATTTCTGAGCCGCTCTTCATCCCCTCTGTCTGTCAGATAAACGCTAAGCTCTCCCTCCCTCTCTACACTCATCTTTTCACCAGACTCTCAGGGCGTCTGTCTCTCCGCCAGAAGCACAGACATCTGAGAAAATTAGTCAAAGACCCCTAATCGGCTGATGAAAGCACATATCAGAATGTTTTCAGTGTTATTGTCAGTAATTATAATTGGACAGTTTAGCCACATGCAAGTGAATCAGTCATTTGCAAATGAATCCAAACAGTAAGCTAAACGATTAAGCTTGTGGAACGATTAAGCCTCTGCGCTTGTGAAAGTGCTTACAGCTACATTAATGATTGTGTGTGTTATGCTATAATAAGAGTCTTTAAAGTGGACATGGAAAACAGGATGCTGTTTTGAAATAAAGGCTTGATGTAAACATTGCAATGCAAATCTCTCTCCCTAGTCCAACCAAACCTCTTTTCCGTTGTTCTGTTCTGTTCGTTCTGGGCTGTAAATATCATCTCTGTCAAGTTTTCAGACAGAAAGTGTAAAATTAAGCTAAATGGTATACAAGTAGATATATTATAATTAACACATCGTTATACACTTTGCATGCCAACAACTTGACAACTTCTAATTTAGCCTACCTGTTTGTTTGCAATAAAGTTATTTCATTTACAATTATCATTAGTGTGCACAAATTTGATGTTGTGTATTCCAATAACTTCTAACCGTGACATTAAAGCCAATCCAAGAAGCACTTTGGATGTTAAAATATTCTCACAATCACAACTAATGTCACAGTTGTCAATGTAAGATGAAATTCAGTGGGCGAAATGCAGTCATTTCAATAGAAATCTTGGAGTCTGGAATTTCCCTGTGCAGATTTCACACTGGATTTAAGTTTTGTTAAACTTTGAACACACAAATTTGCTGTGGTGATCAATATATACCTATTAAAGAGACCCAAAAATTAAAACTCTGTTTTCATTTACTCAACCTCAAGTTGTTCCAAACCTGCATGAGTTTCTTTCTTCTGTTGAACACTGAAGAAGATATTTTGAAGAATGCTGGTAACCAAACAGTAGCTGGTCCCCATCGACTTCCATTGTATTTCCCCCCCCATACTATTGAAGTCAACGGGGACCAGAAACTGAAGAAAGAAACGCATATTGAGGGTGAAAAAATTTCTTGGTGAACTATCCCTTTACGATTTATTTATCAGTATGCCAGTATGCTGAAATTAACCAATCACAAGAATTTTAAAGAAGCAATACAATAAAGATACAAAATAATAATAATACTGAATAATAATAATTGTCCGTGAGAAGATGGGAATCAATTAAACACTAAATTCTGACGTTTTTGCCACAAGACACATTGACTAACATTAAAGTGTATTTATTACCGAATAAAATGCTACAAAGTGTAGAATATAGCCTTTTAAAGCCTTTTAAAATACCAGTGCTTTAATAAAGCAATAAGCCCCAAGAAGCCGTGGTTTACAGTGAATTTATAACAGCTAAGGGGCGTTGATAGGTACGACGCGAAGCAGAGTGCCTAAACCCCCTTAGCTGTTATAAATTCACTGCAAACCACGGCTTCTTGGGGGCTTATTAATCCGTGTATCATTCGATCATTTGTTTTTTGATTTAATATTGAAAGTAGAAAATTTTTTGTTTTTTTCCGAAAAATTAGAATTTAGCTTAAATTTTTGTTTTTCGTTCATGGGTGGAAAAATGAATAAACAGCTTGAATATTCGATTTCTGCATGTGGGCGGGAATTGTGCTTTAATAAAGCAATAAGCCCCAAGAAGCCGTGGTTTACAGTGAATTTATAACAGCTAAGGGGCGTTGATAGGTACGACGCGAAGCAGAGTGCCTAAACCCCCTTAGCTGTTATAAATTCACTGCAAACCACGGCTTCTTGGGGGCTTATTAATCCGTGTATCATTCGATCATTTGTTTTTTGATTTAATATTGAAAGTAGAAAAATTGTTTTTTTCCGAAAAATGAGAATTTAGCTTAAATTTTTGTTTTTCGTTCATGGGTGGAAAAATGAATAAACAGCTTGAATATTCGATTTCTACATGTGGGCGGGAATTAAACGCCCCTTTCTGCTGATTGGTCAGCCGAAGATCAAACCGTGCCATCATCAGTTCTTCTGCAGTATCACGCAGCAGAATAATAGTCCTCCACTGCTGCAGTTGTACGGATTAGTAACCCATTATAATCCTATGCATCTCGTGGCGTATATTCCAAGCATTCTGAAGGTATACTGAGGGTTTGGTGAGAAACAAACCGAAATGGCAAGCTATTATATTTTATGAAAATCTTGCGTTGTAGTGCGAGTGCGCAGCAGCTCACGCCACGCACAAGTGCATATTCTTTTGAGATATCATATCAGTTATAATCAGTTTTAATAAAACACAAGACTACATTATAAAACTCTAACAGCAAGCTATTTAATATCTGTTGTTCTCCGGTTGTCAATCAAAATGACAGTTCTTGCGTGAACATTATAGGCCTATATATACCCAAGCCAATTTATTATTCCTTCTAGGGCTGCACGATAAATCACATGCAATATTTAATGCGCATCTTGTCAGAAAGCCGGTTCTGTAATCAGCGGTAAATCTCCATCACGTGCGGGCTTTCACATTGAGCAGCATTAACTACACAGAGCCATTGTTCACTGACGAGCTGCGCAAAACCACATTCATATTCGCACGATTTTCAACCAATCAAAATCAAGGACCGGAACTATTAGTTTTATAAGAACTGTTTTTGAGGTGTCCACTTCCTTTTCTATGGGAAATGCGTATTAGCTGACCTTTCACCCCTGTTAAATATAGTTGCTTTCGTCTTGGTGTTGTACTTCATGCTGAACCAGGAACTGATTTATGTAAGGACTTCCTGATGTTTATTTGGAACTGATGCAGCGTCTCCATTAGCTGCTGCTCATGTGATGTATGATCTGTGTGTGTGTGTGTGTGTGTGTGTGTGTGTGTGTGTAGGGAGTGCTCGCAGGAAGTTGGTATGCACCATCTGTAATAAGAAGTGCTCATCCTCACTCAACCTGCAGGAGCACCGCAAGGTCAGATCATCCCTCCATAAATCTCCTCTTATCGTTCATCCAGTCCATCTCTTCATATTTCTTACCTTTCGCTCGTCTATTTTGGCTTTAATCTTTCTCCTCTGTCACGCCATCTATCCGTCTGTTCTTTCTCTGGCCTTGTCTCAAATGGCTCCCTCAGCAGTTGCAGTGCTCCATACTTTGAGTCCACACTTTAGCACTAAAGGAATTATGCAAATCAGGTAATGTAACGAACATGCTCAAAACTCTAGCGCTGAACACAATTTGCACCACGTAAATCGCCATCTTGAAGGCTTGATTTGAGTGCTTTGCTGTGAAGGATGTAGCAGATGATTAAGATCTGACATACTTTGCTAGGACCATAGAGCGCCATAGAGCACATTTGTGAATAAAACACAATTATAAATATATGACTCTGTGTACATTTTTTTATGTAAAAAGGAGCCATATTTGCAACTAAAAGTATGACAATGACTTAATTTAAATGTGTTTGGTGCAGCACTCTACTAGCTCAGATATCAGTAGATTAAACTTATTTTTATGAGCTTCTCCAAGAGAAAAATATGAACTAAAAAACAGAATATGAGTACGATATGAGTCTCTGATGTTTGGAAGCCCTTTATATATATATATATATATATATATATATAAAAAGTAATTGCGTATGTTTATCTCACAATTCTGACTTTTTTCAAATCAGAATGGCCTGATATAAACTTGCATTTCCAACTTTGTTTTCTCAGAATTGCAAGATATAAACTCACAAATGCGTGTAATAAAGTCAGATATAAAGTCACAATTGCATGTGGTAAAGTCACAGTTGTGAGATATAAAGTCAGAATTGCATGGTATAGTCACAATTGCATGTAATGAGTGAGAATTGTGAGATAAAAAGTCGTAGTTGCATGGTATAAAGTTGTAATTGCGTGCTATAAAGTCAGAATTGCATGATATAAAGTTGTAATTGGATGCTATAAAGTCAGAATTGCATGATATAACGTTGTAATTGCGTGCTATAGTCACAGTTGCATGATATAAAGTCGCAGTTGTGTTATAAAGTCGGAATTGCTTGATATAGAGTCGCAGTTGAGAGATATAGTCGCAATTGCATGCTATAAAGTCAGAATTGCATGATATAACGTTGTAATTGCGTGCTATAGTCACAGTTGCATGATATAAAGTCGCAGTTGTGCTATAAAGTCAGAATTGCATGATATAAAGTCGCAGTTGTGCTATAAAGTCAGAATTGCATGATATAAAGTCGCAGTTGTGTTATAAAGTCAGAATTACATGATATAAAGTCGCAGTTGTGTTATAAAGTCAGAATTACATGATATAAAGTCGCAGTTGTGTTATAAAGTCAGAATTACATGATATAAAGTCGCAGTTGCATGCTATAAAGTCACAATTGCATGATATAAAATCGCAGTTGCATGTTATAAAGTCAGAATTGCATGATATAACGTTGTAATTGCGTGCTATAGTCACAGTTGCATGATATAAAGTCGCAATTGTGTTATAAAGTCAGAATTGCTTGATATAGAGTCACAGTTGAGAGATATAGTCGCAATTGCATGCTATAAAGTCAGAATTGCATGATGTAAAGTTGTAATTGCGTGCTATAGTCACAGTTGCATGATATAAAGTCGCAATTGTGTTATAAAGTCAGAATTGCTTGATATAGAGTCACAGTTGAGAGATATAGTCGCAATTGCATGCTATAAAGTCAGAATTGCATGATGTAAAGTTGTAATTGCGTGCTATAGTCACAGTTGCATGATATAAAGTCGCAATTGTGTTATAAAGTCAGAATTGCTTGATATAGAGTCACAGTTGAGAGATATAGTCGCAATTGCATGCTATAAAGTCAGAATTGCATGATGTAAAGTTGTAATTGCGTGCTATAGTCACAGTTGCATGATATAAAGTCGCAGTTGTGTTATAAAGTCAGAATTACATGATATAAAGTCGCAGTTGCATGCTATAGTCACAATTGCATGATGTAAAATCGCAGTTGCGTGTTATAAAGTCAGAGTTGCATGATATAAAGTTGTAATTGCGTGCTATAAAGTCAGAATTGCATGATATAAAGTTGTAATTGCGTGCTATAGTCACCGTTGCATGATTTAAAGTCACAGTTGTGTTATAAAGTCAGAATTGCTTGATATAGAGTCGCAGTTGCGAGATATAGTCGCAATTGCATGCTATAAAGACAGAATTGCATGATATAAAGTGGCAATTGTGTGTTACAAAGTTGCAATTGTGTGTAATAAAGTAAGAATTGCAAGATATAAAGTCGCAATTGTGTTATAAAGTAAGAATTGCATGATATAAAGTGGCAATTGTGTGATACGAAGTTGCAATGGTGTGTAATAAAGTAAGAATTGCAAGTTATATGAACTCGCAATTCTGATTTTTTTTTCTCGCAATTGCAAGTTTACATCTCACAATTCTGACTTTGTTTCTCAGAATTGCAAGATATAAACTCACAGTTGCAAGTTATAAATTCAGAATTGCAGGATATACAGTAAACTCGCAATTCAGACCTGTTTTCTCAGAATTGTGAGATACGTCAAGTACACCATTTAGGATGAGGCCTCAGCTCTTGGATCTCACTTGAGTTCTCGACTTCCTCTTTTTCTCTTTCTTTGGCTGCTGTCTGATCCATATATGTAATTCTGTCCTCATCTGTTTCATTGTTTTTGAAAAGATGGAAAAAATAAGAAACATAGCCGTCTTAGACTCTGGTTTGCTCTTGTATGCCGTCCATCTCTCTCTGTCTCTCAGCTGGTAGTGGGCTTCATGCTGATGTTGTAAGGTTTTCCACTGGTGTGAGTGTGTACAGAAAGGTCGTCTTTTGTTTCACAAGCTCATCCCCGTGGCTCTCGTGAAATTTAAGAGTTGGGGAGTCCAGACTGCCCGAACTTCCTGCTGGCGTCAGGGTTCCTCTTCAAAAAGACCTGAGGAATATCAGACAAATAGCTTCATCACCATCTTCAAATCACCACAAACGTCAGAGCTCTGAAATGGTTCCTGGTCCATTTTCTCTTGGGAAGATTCATGGATAGGCTGAGTGGGTGTCCTTTTCAAAATATATACCACTTTTTAGATGCTTTTCAATGAAACTGCACCGCAAAACTTTGGCAGAGCGAGTTGAGAGTGACAAATTAAGGTAATTTGATTTTCTAACTGAAGGACGTAGGTGAAGAACCACAATTCAGGTTTAATGTTCTTACGATTGGAATGCATCCCGAGCTGTTCCCACTGCTCCACCAAACCAACATCCCGCTCTGTTTTGGCCTGGAGAATGCTATCATCACTCTCTTTGCCTGAACTTGACGTAAAACAGGCACTTCCTCCTGTCAGCGTTCACTCATCAGCAGTTATCGGCGCAGCCGTTCTGAGAGCAAGCCTTTCCAGTCACAGCTGTCCGGCTTTGACTTTAACCTGCAAGAGCATCATGCTGCTCTGGTGTGCGATCCTGATTGTTCGGCAGCGGTCAGTCTCTCTCGAGAGGAAATGCTAATGTTTCTGTAAAATTCTTCCCATGGGTAATGTTAAATCCAAACCTGTTTGGCTCTTCTATGTCATTTTGTTTTATTGGACCGTTTCTTGCTCAAAGATGCATTCAAATTATTTAAAGGGGTGGTTCATTGCGATTTCACTTTTTAACGTTAGTTAGTGTGTAATGTTGCTGTTTGAGCATAAACAATATCTGCAAAGTTACAAAGCTGAAATTTCAATGCAAGCAGAGACATTGGGCCTCATTTATCAATCTAACGTAGAAACGAGCGCAGATCTGTGCTCACAAATCAACTTACGACAGAGTTCACGTGTGATTTATGAAACATTCGTATGCTGCCAATCTCATCGTACAAATGATCGCATGTTGATAAATGTGGCGCCAGAAAACAATCGTCATTTGAATATCACGCCCCTAAAAACACCCAGGTTTAGAAGCCTCGCCCAAGAGTTTACGACACGGAGAAACGAAACCCGGCCAAAAAGAGGAAGTAATCTCGCTAAAGAGAAATTGATCTTACTCCAAAAACACCCGTTAACCTTGTAATTGCAAACAATTAGGCTACATTAATATATGTAATTTATATGTATATTAAAATACTGGTAAATATAAACAGCCTATTTAGTTCCCCTCACTCTACAACAAATATTTTAAATTTAACGGTATTCAGAACAGAACAAGAATGAAAAATAAGTAGTTATA